AGACAAAGAAGGACACTCCATAATGATCAAGGGATCAATCCAAGAAGAAGATATAACAATTGTAAACATATATGCACCCAATGAACTTCCCTGGTGGCGCAGTGGTTGAAAAGTCCACCTGCCAATGCAGGGTACACGGGTTTGAGACCTGGTCCAGGAAGATTCCACATGCTGTAGAGCAACTAAGCCCATGCACCAAAACTACTGAGCCTGCGCTCTAGAGCCCGCAAGCCACAACTACTGAGCCCATGTGCCACAACTACTGAAGCCCACATGCCTAGAGCCCGTGCTCCGCAATGAGAAGCCACGGCAATGAGAAGCCCGCACACCGCAATGAAGAGTAGCCCCCGCTCGCCACAACTAGAGAAAAGCCTGGGTGCAGCAATGAAGACCCAATGCAGCCAAAAATAAACAAATTAACTAATTAAAAAAAAAATATATATATATATATGCACCCAACATAGGAGAACCTCAATATATAAGGCAAATGCTGACAGGCCATAAAAGGAAAAAATCAACAGTAACACAGTAACAGTGGGGGACTTTAACACCCCACTTTCATCAATGGACAGATCATCCAGACAGAAAATCACTAAGGAAACACAGGCTTTAAATGACACATTAGACCAGATGGACTTAATTGATAATTACAGAACATTCCATCCCAAAGCAGCAGAATACACATTTTTCTCAAGTGCACATGGAACATTCTCCAGGACAGATCACATGCTGCACCACAAAGCAAGACTCAGTAAATTTACAAAAATTGAAACCATATCAAGCATCTTTTCTGACCACTATGCACTATGAGATTAGAAATCAATTATAAGAATAAAACTGTAAAAAACACAAACACATGGAAGCTAAACAATATGTTACTAATCAACCAAGGGATCACAGAAGAAATCAAAGAGGTAATCAAAAAATACCTAGAGACAAATGAAAATGAGAACAGTGAGCCAACATCTACAGGATGCAGCAAGGGCAGTCCTCAGAGGGAATTTTATAGCAATACAATCCTACCTCAGGAAACAAGAAACACCTCAAATTAACAACCTAAAATTACACCTAAAGCAACTAGAGAAAGAAAAACAAACAAAACCCAAAGTTAGTAGAAGGAAAGAAATCATAAAGATCACAGCAGAAATAAATGAAATAGAGACAAAGAAAAATATAGAAAACATCAATAAACGAAAAGCTGGTTCTTTGAAAAGATAAACAAAATTGATAAACCTTTAGCCAGAGGCATCAAGAAAAAAGGGAGAGATCTGAAATCAATAAAATTAAAAATAAAGATACAACTGACACCACAGATATATAAAGGATCATAAGAAAGTACTACAAGCAACAATATGCCAGTAAAATGGACAACCTAGAGGAAATGGACAATTTCTTAGAAATGTATAACCTTCCAAACCTGAACCAGAAAGAAATAGAAAATATGAATAGACCAATCACAAGTACTGAAATTGAAACTGTGATTTAAAAACATACAACAAACAAAAGTCCAAGACCAGATGGTTTCACAGACGAATTCCATCAAACATTTAGAGAAGAGTTAACACCTATCCTTCTGAAACTATTCTAAAAAACTGCAGAGGAAGGAACACTCCCAAACTCATTCTATGAGGCCACCATCACCCTGATTACAAAATGAGACAAAGATACCACAAAAAAAGAAAATTATAGGCCAATGAACATAGATACAAAAATCCTCAACAAAATACTAGCAAACAGAATCCAACAACACATTAAAAGGATCATACAGCATGATCAAGTGGGATTTATCCCAGGGATGCATATCATTCAGTGTGATACAAATTTATCTTTTTTCAAAATAAAGTCTTTTAATTGTTCAAAATAGCACAAAATGACATCGCACTATGGTAATATTGAGTCATGGGGGTTACTCTACAATAGATGAACGGGCTTACAGTTTCCAGAAATGAGAGATCAAAGGGTGGTCGGGAATAGGGATGGGGGAAAACAATGAGACCAGGCAGTGGGCTCCAAGGTGACTAAACGTGACGTTTTCCACACATTAACAAACTGAAGAATAAAAAACATATGATCATCTCAATAGATGCAGAACAAGATTTTGATAAAATTCAACACTGATTTATGATAAAAAGTCTCCAGAAAGTGGGCATAGAGGGAACCTACCTCAACATAATAAAGGCCATATATGACAAGCTCACAGCTAACAACATACTCCCAGTGGTGAAAAGTTGAAAGCATTTCCTCTAAGATCAGGAGCAAGACCAGGATGTCCATTCTTGCCACTCTTACTCAACATAGTTCTGGAAGTCCTAGCCATGGCAATCAGAGAAGAAAAAGAAAGAAAAGGAATACAAATTGGAAAAGAAGAAGTAAAACTGTCACTGTTTGAAGATGACAAGATACTATACATAGAAATCATAAAGATGCTATACCAGAAAACTACTAGTGCTCATCAAAGAATTCGGTAAAGTCTCAGGATACAAAATTAATACACAGAAATCTCTCGCATTTCTTTTTTTTTTTTTTTAACATTTATTTATTTATTTGGCTGCAGCAGGTCTTAGTTGTAGGACGTGGGATGTTCATTGCAGCACGCAGGATGTTCACTGCAGCATGTGGGCTCTTTTAGTTGCGGCATGTGGGCTCTTTTAGTTGCAGCATGCAGGATCTAGTTCCCTGACCAGGGATCGAACCCAGGCCCCCTGCATTGGGAGCACAGAGTCTTAACCGCTGGACCACCAGGGAAGTCCCTCTTGCATTTCTATACAGTTAACAATGAAGGATAAGAAAGAGAAATTAAGGAAACAATCCCACTTACCATCACAAAGAATAAAATACTTAGGAATAAACCTACCTAAGGAGGCAAAAAACCTGTACTCGAAAACTATGAGACGCTGATAAAAGCAATTGAAGATGACACAAACAGATGCAAAGATATACCACATTCTTGGATTGGAAGAATCAATACGGTCAAAATGATTATACTACCCAAGGTAATCTAGATTCAATGCAATCCTTATCAAATACCAATGACATTTTTCACAAGAACAAAAGTTTTTAATTTGTATGGAATCACAAAAGACCCTGAATAACCAAAGCAATCCTGAGAAAGAAAAACAGAACTGGAGGAATCAGGCTCCCTGACTTCAGACTATACTACAAAGCTACAGTAATAAAAACAGTATGGTATTGTCACAAAAAGAGAAATATAGCTCAATGGGATAGGACAGAAAGCCCAGGAATAAACTCATGTACCTATGGTCAATCTATAACAAAGGAGGCAAGAATATACAATGGAGAAAAGACAATCACTTCAATAAGTGGTGCTGGGAAAACTGGACAGCTACATGTAAAAGAATGAAATTAGAACATTCTCTAACACCATACACAAAATAAACTCAAAATGGATTAAAGACTTAAATGTAAGACCGAATACTATTTAAAACTCTTAGACGAAAACTTAGGGCACTCTTTGACATAAATTGCAGCAATATCTTTTTGGATCCACTTCCTAGAGTAATGAAAATAAAAACAAAAATAAACAAATGGGACCTAATTAAACTTAAAAGCTTCTGCACAGCAAAGGAAACTATAAATAAAATGAAAAGACAATCCTCAGAATGGGAGAAAATATTTGCGAACAATGCAACCAACAAGGGATTAATCTCCAACATATACAAACAGCTCAATATCAAAAAAAAAAAAACCCAATCAAAAAAATGGACAAAAGATCTAAATAGACGTTTCTCCAAAGAAGACATACAGATGGCCAAAATCACATGACAAGATGCTCAACATCCCTAATTATTAGAGAAATGCAAATCAAAACTACAGTGAGGGCTTCCCTGGTGGCACAGTGGTTGAGAGTCTGTCTGCCGATGCAGAGGACACGGGTTCATGCCCTGGTCTGGGAAGATCCCACAAGCCGTGGAGCGGCTAGGCCCGTGAGCCATGGGCACTGAGCCTGCACGTCCGGAGCCTGTGCTCCGCAACAGGAGAGGCCACAGCAGTGAGAGGCCCGCGTACCGCAAAAAAAAAAAAAAAAAAAAAAAATACAGTGAGGTATCACTTCACACTGGTCAGAAGGGCCATCATCAAAAAGTTTACAAACAATAAATGCTGGAGAGGGTGTGGAGAAAAGGGAACCCTCCTACACTGTTGGTGGGAATGTAAATTGGTACAACCACTATGGAGAACAGCATAGGGGTTCCTTAAAAAACTAAAAATAGAACTAGCATATATGATCCAGTAATCCCTCTCCTGGGCATATATCTGGAGTAAACCATAATTACAAAAGATACATGCACCCCGATGTTTCATTGCAGCACTATTTACAATATCCAAGACATGGAAGCAACCTAAATGTCCATCAACACAGGAATGGATAGACAAGATGTGATACACACACACACACACACACACACACACTGGAATATTACTCAGCCATAAAAAAGAATGAAATAATACCATTTGCAGCAACATGAATGGACCTAGAGATTATCATACTAAGTGAAGTCAGTCAGACAAAGACAAATATCATATGATGTCACTTATATGTGGAATCTAAACAAATGATACAAATGAACTTATTTACAAAACAAAAACAGACCTACAGACTTCAAAAACAAACTTATGGTTACCAAAGGGGAAAGGTGGGAGGGGAGAGGGATAAATTAGGAGTTTGGGATTAACATATACACAGTACTATAAATAAAATAGATAAATCGGGCTTCCCTGGTGGCGCAGTGGTTGAGAGTCTGCCTGCCGATGCAGGGGACGCGGGTTCGTGCCCCGGTCCAGAAACATCCCACAATGCCGTGGAGTGGCTAGGCCCGTGAGCCATGGCCAAAAAAAAAAAAAAAAGATAAATCAACAAGGACCTGCTGTATAGCACAGGGAACTTTACTCAATATTCTGTAATAACCTATATGAGAAAAGAATCTGAAAAAGAATGGAAATATGTATATGTATAACTGAATCACTTTTCTGTACACCTGAAACTAACACAACATTGTAAATCAACTATACTCCAATATAAAATAAAAATTAAATTAAAAAAAGAATAACTTCAATTGCAAAAAAAAGAAAGAAGAAATGTACGAGGAACCTAGAATATCTTATTATACCAGATATAAAGAAAGCTATCAAAGACTATTAGAGTCACATTAAATGACTCTGCAGCCCACTAGTCAACAAGAACCATTGACCAGGTCTGACTACTGCTCCATGGGATGGGAGACACCTGGGATTCTTGACTGCTGGACCCACAAGGACAGCAGGCACTGTAACCACCATTCAAACCTCCTTGTCAATCGCACAGTGTGGGCAAACCTCTGGTCCCAGGAATATGGCCTGGTGGGCCACAGGGGCCTGACGCCCAAGGGCAAGTGTGCAAGAGCTAACTGCAAACGTGTGTTCCACTGTGACTCAGCATCGAGGCTCCCTGGAATCAGTTCTCAGGTCTGGCTGGGTAGAGATAGATGAGGCCGCAAAAAATTAAAAATGAACCAAAAACCACTGAGCAGAGAGAGGGCAGTATGAGCAACAGTAAGAATAAAAACTCCAACAAGAGGAAGATATATTAGGCTAGTGATTTGTTGAAAATTAAAGCTTCTGAATTATAACACATCTCCCTTTCATTTTTTTTGACCCAGACCAATACCATGTTTATTTCACAAACACTGGGAAGATGGGTTGGAGGTAGAGGTGGGACACGGGTGCAAAGCTGCACACAGTCATCAGCAGCCCACTCGCCACACTGAGGGTCCAGCCAGGCAGTGCCTCCAAGTCCACAGGCAGCAGAAGTGAGTGCAGGGAGGGCCCTGAACACCAAGCCCCCTGAAAGCCTAAGGGGCACAGCTCCAGCTGTCCCGGGAAAACCACAAATAAATAAGAGTGGGGGGGGGCCCACCCACACAGATCATCTAATCACCCATCTTCACTCTGGAGGTCTGAAGGATTGCAACGATGACCCCAAAGAGGCCGATGGCACTGCCAAAGATCTCCACAATGAGAATCTTTACAAAGAGGCTGGGGTCCTGCACATCAGCCAAGGTGGCTCCACTGCCCACGATGCCCACACAGACTCCACAGAAGAGGTTAGACAGGCCCACTGTGAGGCCAGCCACCAACATGGAGTAGCCTGCATGGTAGCTTTGATGGCCAATGGCCTTGGGGTCAGTAGCACTGCAAGGTTCAGCCATGTTGCTCATGACAATCGCCATGATGATGCCGTAGATGGCCACAGCCTCACAGAAGATAATGCTGATCAGGTTCTTGGTCTTAATCCTGGGGGCCTTCACCCCTTCCCCAGTGATGGAAGAGCCAGTGATGTAGATGCTCCATGCTTCCCCAACCACAGACAGGGAGATAGCTAGGCCAATGCCCAGGTTTGACCACACGACAGGGGAAGTCTCCGTCAGGAACCATGCCACATCAAAGCGGGAGCCCAAGTCAAAACTGGTGTAGCAGATTCCCATGACGAGCAGGCAGGCCCTGAAGGCCACAAAGACCCCGGAGTAGAGCAGCACTAGGCCCGTCATGGCGGCAACGATGCCATGGGGGGGGAGGAGCTCAAACCGCGTCCCTGCATCCGCTGTCCACCCTGCAGCCTGTGGGCCCGCCCCGCAGTGTCACCTCCCCTTTCATTTTTATTGTGATTCCTTTTCCCTGTTTTTTTTCATTGTACCAGTAACATTATTTTTAGAGGAAAAACATTGAAATACAAACATTAATATATGTATTTGAAAGTAGATATTTTCCCAATACTAAGCACATGCTGTATCATATATTTTCCATGTTGAAAATATTCTTCTCTCTGTGGGAGAGTGCCAGCTGTTTAGTGGTACGCAAAGGAACTTATTTTACTCTTGATCCACGGAACCTCCTAGGGGATACCACTGTAAAGTATGTCAATGTTTTTTTTTTCCTGGAAATGGTCTACTAAATATTTAATCTCTTTTCTTTATTATCATCAGAAATTAAAACACTAGCATGAAAAAATTTTAAATTTCTTAATTATTTTTATTTGGGAAAAGTGTACTCATTAGAATATATGGAATATTAAACCCTAAATAAGAGGACTTTATATCAAAAGAAATATCATTAATCATCTAATATAATGAATGTCAAAAATTCTATTTGTGTTCCTGCCAAAATACAGAAACTTATTTTTAAAAACTGAACTATTACTTTCTTTGTGTGTGTGTGTGTGTAATCCAGATTTTATTGATTATATCATTCCATACAATTTTAAGTAAACAGACTGAGAAAATAAACTGGGAATATTAAACAGATGATGGCAATATTGATGAAAATGTTCAAGTGTTTTACATAAGGTAGTAAGAGGCACCACTGCCACCATCACCCTCCGAAATTTGTATGTTTCACATAAAAAGAGTAAAATAGTTTATTGGCATTTAACTAGCATTATTCTTTGTAATTTATGCACCAAGATACACCTAAACAACTGCAGAATCTTCAGAGCAAAACAAAGCATTTTCTTTCACTAGCAAATATAGCAGTTTCAGTTTCTTTAAAAAACAAGCAAACATGGGCTTCCCTGGTGGTGCAGTGGTTAAGAATCCGCCTGCCAATGCCGGGGACACAGGTTTAAGCCCTGGTCCGGGAAGATCCCACATGCCACACAGCAACTAAGCCTGTGTGCCACAACTACTGAGCCTGTGCTCTAGAGCCTGTGCGCCACAACTACTGAAGCCCACGTGCCTAGAGCCCGTGCTCCGCAACCAGAGAAGCCACCGCAATGAGAAGGCTGCGCACCACAACGAAGAGTAGCCCCCCGCTCACAGCAACTAGAGAAGGCCCACACGCAGTAACAAAGACCCAATGTACCCAAGAATAAAAATAAAATAAAATAAATTTAAAGACCAAAAAAACCAAGCAAACAAATCAACACAACTACACACACAACCCCAAAACAAAAGTTGGCATATTTCAGTGGTCCTGAATTTTGATGTTTCTACTGTATTAATTAAAGAAATAAAATGTGATTCAGCATTTAAAAATGAGACTGATCTTCTTCACCATAATTATACTTACTTTATAATTCAAACGATTTAACTGAAGCTGATGTTAACCCAGCAAAAACCATGGATACAACTCAAACTGCTCTTTGGCTAAGGAAATTTCTTTAAAAGTTAACTATTCTTTAAAAACTCAAACCCAAGCTGCACAGGTGTAACTTTAAGAAACAACAACTGACCCTTCCAGAAACCACAGCAGTAGTTCCAAGTGTTTTGAAGCTGGGGAACACATACAGAATCACTGTAAATCGCACATACACATCAGTAACTTCCTGATAAAACTGTACTAATAGTTTCCTCTATTACTGACTAAAAAAATAAATCAAGCAGGTACTACAGTTCAGCATTTAAAAGACTTCTTTCTATGCCTATTTTTACAAAGACGCTTGGGCTGAGACATACATTTGTATACTTGAAAACAAACAAGGCTTGAAATGTGGTTTTATGTGAAACCACTTAGAAGAAATCAGTCATCAAAAAACTAAAAATACACAACAGATAAATAGGAATTTATTAAAACCACTGTCTCTAACAATATAAAAATTAAATATTAAGGCATCTTTTATTCTCATCTTGGTGTATGCAGCAAAGAGAAGTGTTTTAAATAGGAACCAGCACTTCTATTTCAAATGCTTTCTAACACATTTGGCAGATTTTTTTTCTTTCTCCTATTTCACATTCCATTGAAAGCTCTCATGATCAAACATCATGACCCAAACCAAAAGAAAAGTATAAACAGATATTGACTTATTAAAAAGCAGTTCACCCTTGAAAAATAAAAAGGAACTACAAAGAATATTCTGTATAGGGAATTTCCTGGCGGCCCAGTGGTTAGGACTCTGCGCTCTCACTGCGGAGGGCCCGGGTTTGATCCCTGGTCAGGGAACCAGGATCCCGCATGCTGCGTGGTAAAAAAAAGAACTATGCATAAAGTTCAAATACTAGTATTTAAATTTCTCTGAAGCAATTTGCGCTTCAGTAATTAAGAGAAAGAAGGGGTGAAGACTTAAACACAAGAAGCCTATTAATATGGATCACGCTGTGGACTCGTTCACTCAGTAGTCTGCTCTGTTGAGAAGAGAATTTGAAAAGGGCTTCATACTCCCTTAAAAAACAAAAATCACATTCACCAGAATAAGATCATTTAAATTAACACTGATTATATATAATTCCCCATATTTGTCCACTTATGAAGCTCAATTTCTTCATAAAATATACTAACAGTAACATTTTCACCTTTTATTAAGGCAAGTTTGGGACTTTTATGTTTGTAGAGTAACAGGCCATAGCATGTAATCTTGCCAGCCCTCCTGCCTCCATCAAGTGTGAATGTGATCAAGCCTCTACACCCAGATACCAACCTATGAAACTACAGATGTTAGAAGAACATGTTAAATTATTTTTGCCTAAAGGATCCAATCAGCAAAATCCAGATCTTGGAAAACTGTACAGGACAAATGACCCAATTTCTTCAACAAATTGGAAAAAAATACAAAGTTGTAGAGGAGGAACCTGTGGTCATTTGAAAGATTTATCAACTAATGGCCTTGTGTAGACTTTAGTTCAGTACCAATTCAAACAAACTAAAAATAAATATGGCTCCACACAAACACTTATACATAAGCAATTATTCGTAATAACCAAAATAATGGATAAACAAAGCCTGGTAAATCCATACAAAGGAATATTATTCAGCCACAACAAGGAATGAAGTTCCTTATTCATGTTACAACAGATCAACCTTAAAAACTTTATACAAGTGAGGGTGTTACCGAACCAGGTTTGTTCTGCCGGATGCGCAGAAAGTCAAAATGGTGAGACGCCGAGGTTTGCAGCAAAGTGAGACGGGAAGACAAATCTCAAATCTGCCTTCCCAAAGGCAAGGGGCTCAGGTATTTATGGGAAAAAGAACAAAGAAGCAGGGCAGTCTGAGGCGTGGAGAGAGAGGAAAGGTTATTGGGAAAAGGTGTGATAATTGTTCTGGGCAGGCCTCTGCACGTTCAATATGTCACAAGTGGATGCTCCCATATGCCCAGCTGAAGGGTCAGTGGTCCTATCCAGTCCTAAGCAGCTCGGCTCAAACCAGACAGAGCCGACTCTTGGCTCAACCTGAAGCCGAGGCAGCTGACTCCAAGTTCCTGGAAAACACCTTGGGCAAACATATTGTTTAAGCTACGAGCTGCTTGGAGGACCTGAAAGTCTTAAAACCTTGATTAGTGAAGGCAGGTGACGTGGATTGCACCATGGTTTCAAATGAAGCCAGACATAAAAGACCACATATTGTAATTATTCCACTTATATGAAATATCCAGAAGAGGCATACCCACAGAAATTAATTTGGAAATGCGTAGCGACTGCTAATGGATACAGGGTTTCTTCTAGGTGTGATGAAACTAGTGGTGATGATTCTACAACTTTGTGAAAATACTATAAACCACTGGACTGTACACTTTAACATGGTGAATTTTATGACATGTGAATTGTACCTCAGAAAATACAGCATTCGTGGGAAAAATGGAAATTTGAATACTGACTTGCTACTTGATAATATCATCAGTTTATAATATTAAAAAATATTTATTTTTTGAGATACATTCTCAAAAATTTACAGATGAAATACGATGCTAGAATTCGCTTTAAAAATAATACAGAATAGGTGGGAAATCATTATTTTGAGTAAGGATTACATCAAGCAAGAATCATCAATGGATTCTGTAATGGTCCTAACATATGTCCACCAATTCTTTGATATTCTCCCTTCAAGAGTTGGGACTTCAGGGAATTCCCTGGCGGTCCAGTGGTTAGGACTCGGCACTTTCACTGCCAAGGGCATGGGTTCAATCCCTGGTCAGGGAACTAAGATCCCACAAGCCACGCAGTACAGCCACACACACACACACACACACATACACACACACACACACACACACACACACAGTTGTAACTTAAAAAAAAAAAATTTGGAGCTAAATTTCCCTTCTCTGGAATGTGGGTTGGACTTGGTCCCTCACATCTAATGAGTTGACTATAGTGGAGGTGACAGTGTGTGACTTCTAAGACTAGGTCACAAGGCTTTGCCCTCTCCGGGATCACTTGCTCTAGATGAGGCCAGTACCATGCTATGAGGACACACAAGCAACCCCAGGGAGAGGCCCATGTGGCAAAGAACTGAGGCCTCCTCAGTTCTCACTAGCTAAGATCCCACAGGCTGTACGGTGCGGGGGAAAAAAAAAAAGTTCTAAAGAACACAATTGACAAAATTGGAATAAGAATGGTACAGTAGATAAAATTATTGAGTCAATGTTCAATTTACTGAGGTTAATAATTATACTATGGTCTATAAGAGAATATCCTTATTCTTAGGAAATACACAATGAAGTATTTAGGGATAAAGCGTTGTGATGTATGTTACCCTCAAATCGTTCCCCCAAAAAAGTGTGTGTGTGTGTGTGTGTGAGAAAGAGAGAGAGAGAGAGACCTACAAATGAAGCAAATGCAATAAATATTAATAATAGATGAAAGTAAAGGGTAATGGGTATTTGGTTTTTTTACTATTTTCATTTTTGCAACTTATATGTAGGTTTGAAATTATTTCCAAATAAAAACTTTAGAAAATCATATGGCAGGCTTCCCTGATGGCGCAGTGGTTAAGAATCCACCTGCCAGTGCAGGAGACACGGGTTCGAGCCCTGGTCCAGGAAGATCCTGCATGCCGCGGAGCAACTAAGCCCATGCACCACAACTAATGGCCTGTGCTCTAGAGCCTGAGAGCCACAACTACTGAGCCCTTGTGTCACAACTACCGAAGCCTGCACGCCCTAGAGCCTGTGCTCCGCAACAAGAGAAGCCACAGCAATGAGAAGCCTGTGCACCGCAACAAAGAGTAGCCCCCACTCACCGCAACTAGAGAAAGCCCGTGCACGGCAACGAAGACCCAACGCAGACCAAAAAAAAAAAAAATCAT